ATGCAGGCGGCGGATAAAGAAGCGTGGAAATGCATTTGCGAACTCGTGAACAAAGGTTGGAGCATCGATGATGCATTACATGAGATTGTGCAAGTGCGTTGCATTTTACAGAGTCATCTCCAGCCCAGGGTTTTCATTCAGAAGCCCAAACGGCCCAGCATTGGTTCGGGTCATACCACCCAGCCGGACAAGTCCACTTCCAAAGGCAAGGGTGGCAAAGGCAAGGGCAAACATGGTAAGTCCAAGGACGGCAAAGACCAGGGTGGCCCCAAGTGGATGGTTTCATTCTACGAGAACGGGGTACAGAAGCAGATGTGCAAGCGATGGAACCTTCGCTCTGGTTGCAAGTTGGATGACTGTGCATTCGTACATGGTTGTGCTGTTGACGTTGGCGGCCGACCTTGCGGAAAGGATCATCCAGCTTACATGCACAAGTCCTGAAACAGCCCGAAACCTGTGGAGGGACAGTTTTCCGGGCTTTCAACACATGCACCCTCACCTGTTCCATCGGCAGGTCATACAGCTACATCTGATGCTGACATTCTTGACTTGCTTCAGCAGTCCTTTACATCCACAACTGTGAAGTACAGATGGCAGGCTATTGAGGGGGACCGTGCAGAGGCCGCCTACTTTAACCTCGGTGGTTTCTCGCAGTCGGTGCGTTTTGGATTGACACATCATACATTCCAATTCCAGCACATCTTGTGCCGACTTAATGCTTGGTTATGCATGCTTTTTCCATTGGGTACATGGACTTCTCTATGCATCTCTCACAACGAGGTGCTAAAAGTTCATCGCGATACATCCAACGAGCCCGGCACCCTCAACTACACTGTTGCCCTGGGGGACTTTTCGGGCGGAGGTTTACTGCTGGAATCTTCATCGGGCGATAAATCCTTGCGTGTCGAAGCCTTACAGAAGTGCATCAACTTTTCATTGGTTGACACCAGGTCTTCTCCCCTTGCATTTGATGGTGGTCTTTGGCACGCCACTGAGCCCTTCAGGGGCGACAGGTGGGTCATCACGGCCTACACCTGCAGGCGTTTAGCTGAATTTCAGTCATCAGATGTTGATGCATTGCGTATGTGGGGGTTTCCCCTGCCTGGCGAATCCTTACCTCGTCGGATGCCTCAACCTCAGGCGGTCGAACTGCCTCAGCCCGTTCTTCCGAAGAAGTTCTGCCTTTTGCTGGCTTCACAACATGCTGAGGTACTTCGTGCTGGCCTCTCAACTGCTGGAGTTCCTCATGTTTGCATTCAGTCTCTGGATCAGGAACATGCCAGAAACTGCATTTTTCGTTGTGCGGGTGAGGGGGTATTTGCCTCCATTTTTCTGGTTTATTCACCCCACTGGAGCGAGAGCCACACTCGTTGGGTACTCCAACTTTGCAAGGTGGCACACTCTGCAGGTGCAACGGTGCATTTTGACATTTCTGGTTGGAACCAATGCTGGTCCGATCAACTTTTCCTACACTGCATTTCCACCGGCCTTCAAAACATTGTGCAGGTACCGGCATGTGCTTACAAGGGGGTTGGTGGTAGCCCCTGGATCATGGTCTCTTCGTCGCCTTCTTTCTCTGCTTTGGGGCACCTATGCTGTTGTAGTAGATGCAGTGCGACCTCCACGATCTCTGATTATCCTCCTGCATTCGTGGATGCACTTTGCGACATACTTTTGATATCCAACCTTCGCAAATGCTCAGGTCAATGCGAGTTCTCCATCGATGAGGCCTGGTCCTGCATTCCGGTCAAACAGTGCGATGCTTCACCACATGCTTGGGTGGATGGTGGTGGCCTAAACAGCCGCCCGGACTGGAGTGGCCAGGACCGCTCCACTAAGGACATTTTCAAATCACTTCGTCATGCATTGATTACCTGGTGTGGCAAGGCATGCATTCCTTCCAGGCTGCGGCATAAGCTTTTGCATCCTTCTGAGGCTCATCTGTTCTCTGACACTGAGCTTGGCGAAATTCGTGGGTTGTTTTGTACCTGGTTGGCGTCTCAGGGTTGTTCCGATGTCGACTGGTCCATTAAGGATGGGCAGCCATACTGCCTGAATGCTCTGTCTGCATTATCCTCGGCACTTCAGGATGCAGATATGACTCTTTTCAATGCATTGCTCAGTGGGGTTCCCACTGGCTTCAAACACGACATCCCCCTTTCGGGGGTTTTCGCTCCCTCAGGTCGCACTGCTTCTGATGATGCATTGACCGTATGTGAAGAAAATTGGCAGGGAGCCGAGGACGACCCGGTCCTCCTCGAAGAACTTGTCCAAATCGAGGTGGACAAAGGCTGGCTGCGATGCATTGAGTCTTTGGAAGCTGCACGCCAGATCTGGCCCAATGTTGCGGTGGGCAAGCTTAATATCGTACATTCCGAAGGCCGTAAACCGCGACTCGTGGTGGATTCCTCCATTTGTGGTACAAATGCATCATGCCTTATTCCTGAGCGGTCTGCACTCCCTACTTTACAGACTATACAGACTTCATGGCCTTTGCGTGGGAAACATGAGCCACTCGCCGCTTGGTCTCTGGATGTGCAAGCTGCACACAAGTCCATTATGGTTCGGGAGTCCGAGCAGGGCCTCCTCGGCATCCGGGTAGGCCCCAAGCTTTATTTCTATTCGGTGTGTCCATTCGGTGCTGCTTTTTCTGCTTTCTGGTTTGCTAGACTTGGTGCATTCTTTGTTCGGACACTGCATCGCTTGATTTTCATTGCTCATTTCCTCGCCATGTACGTGGACGATTTACTTGGCTTCCAATCTGCATCGGTGGCGGAGATGAGTTTTTGCATTACCCTCTGTTTCTGTGGTGCTTTTTCCATTCCTTTGTCGTGGAAGAAATTGCAGTTCGGCTGCTCCATCCGCTGGATAGGGTGGGAGCTCGATTTTGGCATGGGGTGCGTTTGCATTCCGTCTGACAAGCTGGAGCGATTGCATTCAGTTATAGTCACTGCTCTCCGTGGTAAATACACGGATCGTGTTACATTGAGCAAGTTGTGTGGCATGATGCAATGGCTTTTCAAGCTTTTTCCATTGGCCAGGCCCTGGCTCAGGTCACTTTATCAGGACCTCAACACTCCTCGTGCAACCAACTTCAGTGTTCGTCAAACCGACTGGCGATCCTTCATTTCATGTCTCAATGATACCTTGCATCTTGTGAGGTTACCCACTGGATCCGCCATTACAGTGGGCAGCAAGGTGCTTGCAGTGCGACATCGCAAAGTTAGCACCAAGCGCGAACTTTTGTCTTGCAACATTGGTGATAAGGATATCTGGCTTCGCATTGCTGACTCGGCCTCAAAACGCCGTGCATTGAGCCCAGCTTCTCGCAACTTATTGTTTTTCTGGCTGCAGTGGTCTTCATTGCCCCCTATCTGGCGATCCCTTCGTCCAATTGAAACTATAATGGTGGAGGCTGCCGCCGATGCTATGGGCAATGGCCGTACATTTGCTATTGGCGGCTACATTGCTTTACCGGCTGGGGAATTCTGGTTCTCTGAAAGATTTACTGTGGAGGAATTTGCATTTGCAGAGCTTCCTCTTAAGTCCGAGGCGCACAAGGACATTACTTGCTACGAATGCTTGGGTCAGATTGCATTAGTTTGGCTTTTGAGTGCAGTTAACCCAGGATGCAGGCTTTCTGTTCGCATGCATTCCTGGTGTGACAACAGTAGTGCCGAGGCCACAGCAAACAAACTTTTTACGACTTCATGGCCTCTTGCTGCATTTGTGCAGCGACTAGCCATTTTGAGTAGCTTTACTGGTGTGCATCTTGACGTGCATCACATTGCAGGTCCTAAGAATGTGGAAGCGGACTTTTTGAGCCGTTGGCTTCCTCCTGCTCCATTACCTGATCGGTGGAGCATGTCGCGTCGTCGACGTATTCCTTTAACCTCATTATGGACTGCGTCGCCTTCCATTTCCCTTTCGCCGGAGGGCTGGAAGCCTCCTTTTCGCGTTCCGAGTGTTTCTCCATTAGGAGCAGCACTCTAATCACCTTGTCGCACGTTTTTCATTTGGTGGAATTGATGCGCGACTTCGGTTCTCTGGCAGATTGCATTTGGGAGAAAACATGCAGACCCTTTTCACAGGCAGCTTCTTGCTGCTGAAGCTCGGATCTGCATTTCCCGCCAGAGAACAAAAGGAGCGAGTGTTGTGCGAGTGACTGCATCAATTCCATTTGAATATTCCATTTGAATACTCTTTTGCTTTATATGTATTTCCATTACATATAAAGCTGCAAATAGGAAGCAGCTGCGAATACATTAACCGAACGGTATGTGTGCTTGCTCACGAGTGTTTGGTAATGTTTTGCATGCTTGCTGCATTCATGACATTCCATTGCATTGCAGCAAGCAGGCTCGCAGCTGCCAACTCGCCTGCATAGCGGGCAGAAACTTTGTCCCACCCACCTCTTCCCTTGTTTCTGGGTGCAAGTGCTGGCGTCTGCACTCTTACACTGCTTTAGCATTGCTTGCATTCGCATTCTCTCTTGTGCATCTATATGGTCTGTCCTTTAAAAGGATCGGTCCATCTGCATTCTCTCTCTCCATGGCAGGTCGGTGCCTTTTGATGCACCTCGATCCCATCGGGGGGGGAGAAAACATGCAGACCCTTTTCACAGGCAGCTTCTTGCTGCTGAAGCTCGGATCTGCATTTCCCGCCAGAGAACAAAAGGAGCGAGTGTTGTGCGAGTGACTGCATCAATTCCATTTGAATATTCCATTTGAATACTCTTTTGCTTTATATGTATTTCCATTACATATAAAGCTGCAAATAGGAAGCAGCTGCGAATACATTAACCGAACCACGGCTTGCACAATGTAATGCTGGAGCTGAACGATTGTTGGAAAGCTGATTTCTACAATGCATGGGAGCGGCAGTTGAACACGATGGCTAAGCATTTCAGCAAAGCAGACAACAATGAACGTTTCGTCAAACAGTGTATTTGGGATAATCCTAAGATCGAAGGGTATGCCCGGAAGAAATCGATTGCAGGAATGTTCAAAAGCAGTTGCCCAACACTTGTCCAGCATCGCTGGCAGTATATGCACGATGTTCTCTTGTGGGTCACCGATCGCAGAAAGTTTCTTATGTACTTGGACCCCCATGTTGTTTCCAGCAGGGAGGATAGTGATGGCCGGCCAGGGCAGTCTGACGATGTCATATCCGAGATGGATGCGGCTGCGTTCAAGCTTCTTTACACTGACAAGCTAGTTTCTGCTACGTTCTGGGCAATGTGTGCGGTTATGCTTATCTTGTGCAAGTGGGGTCACACGGTTGTGGGCTGGCTACATGGCTGCTGGTGTCATCCAACCAAAGATGACAGAGCCCAGTATCGGAAAAATAATAAGGGTGCCAACTGCAAATGGTCTGGCAGGCGGCTGATTGAACTGTCGTGCGGTAGTGCTTTGGAATTCATGGGTGACTTACGCTCGTTGAGAATTGAGAACTCGTCTCTCGCTATGGAGTCGATGGGCCTCCTGGTAAAGGAGCAGCACAAAGTTTCAGGAGCTTCAGAGGCTGCAGGCTTTGATTTGGCATCGGACATTATTTCGGTGGGGTTTGTCACGGCGAAGAGGATGCTTGAATCCCGATTCTCCCAGCTGACATCTTTTGTTAGGGAGCCACCTTGGAATCTGATCAGTCTGTTGCAGTTTCTCATCGTGCCTGCATCTGTCCGTTCCGGTGCTATTGTGGAAAGCCGGCAAACTGCAGCAACAATGCTCCAGAAATTTGATCAGGGAAGATTCGGAGATGTCGGTGACATTGGACGTCGTTTTCTCCAGACCACTCACAGATCGGCGTTGAAGCGCTGGGCAAATTCCCAGGACAAGTTCATGGATTTGCCCCTGTTCAGGGCACTATTGGCTTATGCTTCCAGCCTGAATGTCATGCAGCGGCTGGAAGCAAAGCACCACCTAGTTCAGGCCGGCGCAGCCGTTTTTTTTCTGCAGCAAGAGAACTGTGAGGGACAGAACATGCAATCTACTTGCATCTTTGCCCTAGTAACTAGTACATGTGCTTTTTTTTTGTGGCTGTCCAGGTGCGGATGTGTTCAGCGCGAGCCCTGGGCGTGGCGCACCTTTCTGCAAATATACGACGTGCTTTGAACTTCGATCTGGAGCGGCCGGAGTTTGAACGCAATCTGGATAGATATCTTTCCAGCTTCTCTTGTCTTGTGCAAGAAGAATGGGGGTCATTTAAAGAGTTGCAGTCTTTCACGACGGGGCACAATCTTGAAATCATGTTTGCCGATCGCTCACCTGATATGCAGATGATTGCTGCCGCGAGCAAAGATACCACCGAGGATGATCCATATTTTCGTGACAAGTTGGATCATGTCATGAGCCTCATGCGCAAGTCGGGGCATTATTGCATGCCTTGCTTGCAACAAAGCAATCCCAATGTCACACAGTATATGTGCTTTCAATTGTTGGGTTTTCGTCCAAGCAACAAGAAGTACATGCAGAGGCTTACAAACTGGGGGACGAACCGTTGGCACGGTCAGCTTGCGTGTGCGGTCTTGGGGTCGTTCAGCGTAGACAACCCATGCGTTTGTTTGGAAGATGGCGAGAAGGTGGACCCCCCAACAGTTGATGCTGCCCGAGTGGTCCGATCACAAACCTGCAGTGTTCAGACGATTCCACTGGAATCTTTTTTTAAGAACAACAACATAGATCACCTTCATCAGTTCCATGTTGTGGAGCATCGGGTCGATTTCGACACGGAGATGGTAGATGACATGTTGTCTGACGAGACCGAGTGTCATGACTTGGCCCTCACGAGTCTTGCCTGTAGCGAGCTGAACTTTGACGACAGTGCGAGCCTCCTTGTGTAATCGAACTTGCAAACAGCTGTTTCTCAGGACTGCCATATGCCATCTTGGCAAAAAGGCTGTGCAGACAGGACTGCCGCTCAGTGTACCACCGTCGCATCAGAGTGCTGCTGATTGGATCGTGGAGCACGAGCTCGGCGAGTACAATGACCGCCGGCAGCTAGTGGTGCAATCGCTTGCGATGAGCTTTGAAACGCATTTATCAGCTGTCAGGCCGCTTGATGAGCCCGGTGACCTAATCGACCATAGCTTGTGGTCGCTGCGTCGTCAGCTTCGGTCTCAGGGTTGGTGCGAAGCTGAGAAAGGAAAGAGACTGTCAGCCGCACGGAAATACTTCTCCGGGAGCAACAGGGCGCCCAGCTATTATGTCATCTTGATTGAATGAAACTCAGCTGCAGCTCTTGCTTGAAATTTGGAATAGAGTCTTTGAGTAGACACCTTCTGCATCCCAGGTCCGCAGCAAGCCGCAAGTTATGAAGAGAACCAGAACTTTGCTCATTCTGGTCTGCGCGCCTATTTTGACACGCTGCTGCTTGCGATGCGAATGCAATCACCTGCTACCTTCATGGTGCCAAGAGGGATGAATGCAAAGGGGTATGAGGCTTTGGCGCAGTTTTTGCAAGGCCGCAAACCGAAGTTCTTAATGGGTGCACGTTGGTGTCTTGTTTCGAATCGCGAAATAATGTTTGGCTGTCGTTCGATTGTGCTAGGCGGGTGCTGTGGAGCTGACCCACGGCGAGATGAATCTTTTTTTCACAAAGTGAAGCGTGCCCGGCGACCTCGTGCACACTCCATTCCTCCACGCAAGAGTCGCAAAACTAGCGCTGCCGCACCCGAGGTCTTGTCTCGAGAGTCTCAACCCGGCAATTCTGGCGATCCTCTAATGGTTATTTCGTCTGGCGAAGAGGATTTGGAGGATTGCAACATCTTCGACCCTCAAGATGATGATGATGATGATCCGCCGATTCCGCCAGAATGGTTGGAGGAGTCACATGCCAACGAGGATGCGACTGGCACTGACGATGGTGCGATGAATCCAGACACGGACATTGGCAGTGTTCCCCCGGCTGACGTGGAGGCCCAGCTTGATGCTGGCAATGCCGGGAAATCCGAGAGTGTCCCTGTGCCCTTCTTTGAGCCTCGATGCCGCACTGACGGGCATCGTGCGGTCTGTGAAATCCTGCTACCGGTGCTGCTCGAAGTCATGCGGGAGCCTGCATGGTGTGCTAGAGTTCCTCGAGAGCAAGTTCGTCAGGCTGCTCACCGTCGCTTGATCAGCACATGTTCGGCGCATGGCCGGGAGTGAAGGGTCCATGCGAACAAGACCTGGATTCTGAGGTGTGGATATGAGTGGTCGGCGGTTCTGGGGAGTGCACCAGCTTTATTCACGCAAGCGGACTGCAGAAGACGTTGAAACTTGTCGTCAATTGTAGCCCTAAACATGTGAGTTTGGTCGTTGAATGTTGTGTGGGCATCTGTTGCTACAGCCTGCAGCATGCAAGGTCTTGACTTGGTATTTCGACGCTGTCAAGAGACTGTGTTGACGTGGCCAGCCGTATCTTTTTTTGTGGAGCGATGCATGGTGTAGTGTAGTGTAGTGTTGACAGGGTAGCGGTGCAAAACAAAAGAGCACCAGGTGAGACTGCGTGAGCATTAGGAATCAGGACTGTCTGTGACACTGAAACCTCATGCGATGCATCCTGACAGCATGCCCTCTTGCTTATGTCACGAGCTTGTCGAGTGTGACCTTGAACATGGAGTCTAGAGGCTAGAATGTCGGGAAAAATTCGGTCATGTGGTATGTATGTCCGAAATGCTCACTTGCCTGTATCTTTATATATAACCTGCAAGACTCCTTAGGAGTTCGAGTATCCTCAGGTGTGTAAACTCATGATGTAGATTCAATGTAGATCGCACAGTGCTGATGGACTTGGCAACAGCAGTTTTCGACTTTGATGAGGCGTCTGAGTGCCTGGTCCGTAAAGCGAAACTGAGCCCATGCACAGCCTGTAGAACAGATGCTGGCAGCAAGCGGAGAAAATCTTCAAGTACACCGGATGCTCTGAAGAGCTGGGACTGGGCACGCCGACTCGTTGATGTGCTTCAGGGCGACAGCACATTCTGTAAGTACGAGACCGTCAATCTTTTTACAGAGTTCACTGGCAGTGCCTGTGCCGAGAGCGCGGTGGAGTCGGTAATCAATCATCTGTGTGGTGCGATACCAAATCTCCATTTCGTGTCAATGGCGGACATCAAACCCCAATGCAGGACGGTGTGCATGCAAACACGTCTGGGCCTTAGGCAACTCGTTCTGTGTTGTACTTGGAAGGGCATGGGACTTAGTAAGTTGGTTATAAGTATAGGGTTATTTTAGGGTACTTATAACTCAATTTATAACCTACTTACTAAGTCCCCTGCCCTTCCAAGTAGTATTCCGAAACCGTAAAGCATCAAGTACCCAGCAACGTGCGACACAAGAACACAAATGAAGACCCACTGTCCCTCCGGACCGAAGGAGGATGCGGTTGCTGGGGTTTGAAGGTGTAGAAATTTAGTCTTTTGGGTTTCGGGCTTAAGCTTAGGTTTAAGGCTTATAGCTTATAATGCTTCGGAATCAGGGGTGAGTTGGGGTTTGCAAGCTGTAGGTTTATGCATTGTGGACTTCCAATGCTGCAGACGCCCTGAAGCAAATCGAAGCTTATCAAAGGTCTACGTCAAATACCCACCTCGTCTGTGGTATGCGAGGACTGTCAAAAGTAGTGCAGCCGCTAAACTACATTTGACCACCCAGGATGTTGGAGTTTGAAGGTGTGGGCTCGGGGTTGCTTGTTGCTAGTGTAGGTCAAGTGTCGCTGACTAAGATCCTGATGCGTGCTGCTTTGGAAATATTCTCGACCTACTACCTGATGAACTTCGTGGACAGATAGATACCAAAGTCCTGGAACATGCCGCTCGGCTCAGCTTGCGTAAGTTGAACACAATTCCAAGCCCCAACACATCGATAAGGAGAGAACGTCATCATGATGACCATGGTGATGATGGCGAGATGACGGTAATGGTGATGATGGTGATAATAACTCCCTCTCTCTCTCTCTCTCTCTCTCTCTCTCTCTGTCTCTCTCTCTCTCTCTCTCTCTCGCTCTTTTTCTCTCTCTCGCTCTTTTTCTCTTTCTCTTTCTCTCTCTCTCTCTCTCTCTCTCTCTCTCTCTCTCTCTCTCTCTCTCTCTCTCTCTCTCTCTCTCTCTCTCTCTCTCTCTCTCTCTCCCGACACCAGTGGCATGCTTTTGTTTTGGTTCCATGCCAGTCGTGTGAGGTGACAGTTTCTGCTGATGACGTGATTGCCGCTGTAGGGCGAGAATGCTCGTGTGTCAACGACATGCGGTCCAAGCTGTTCACGAAGGACGCAAAGTTGAAAGTTCGATTGGGTGGCACTCATGGTGCGCACAGAGGTTGGGTGTTGGTAGGTTTGCCAGGGCATGATTCTGTGGAAGATGCAATTGCGGCCTTTTGGTCAATGTTGTCGAGTACAAGACTTGCAAGCTGTGAGATGTGCTTCTCGCGCGCGATTCACGACAGAACGTGGGCAAGGTGTTCGGTTTTGGCATAACTACGCAGTTCGCATCATAGTTCGTATCATAGTTCGTATCATGGTTCGTATCATGGATTTTTAGTTCGTATCATGTTCGTACTATATAGCTCCTTTGGTTCGTATCATATGATACGAACTGGTTTCCGCGCTACGAACCATGATACAAACTATGGCTGGCCACACCTGAGGAAGACGCTGGACGAGTTGGTGCCTCTCATCCTGGATCCCAAGTATGCATGCCGCCGGTCTTCATAGCGCCTGGCTGCAATCCCGACATTTTCCTGTGGTTAGGCAGTTTCCCAAGACGTTGTCAAATCCTCCTGCCCGGAACTAAGCTTTGCCTTGAGTGGCCGTAGTTCTCCGCGTGCGCACGTTTTTTCTGGGGGGGGGGGGCCTGGTTTGAGCACTTTGATCTCCACGCTCCATCAGTTCCCCCACACATTGGCCCCACAGTTCCCTGGGCGGCTCAACCATCCCAAAACGGTGCAACTTGGTGCTCATAATGCTTGTCTGCTTGCCCCGCTTTTGAGGGTCAAATATAAGATTGAATTTTGACCCACAAACTCGGCCCCCACAAAACCCGCTGATGCTCATGATGCGTGGCGCCCGTCCCCAACAAGGACCCACTGATGCTCATGATGCGTGGCCCTGCCGCGCGACTTTTGGCCAAAAAGGGGGCGTTCATTTGGATCATATATCGGATCGCAAAAGAACTGCCGACCCCGTCCCCAACAAAGACCCACTGATGCTCATGATGCGTGGCCCCGCCGCGTGACTTTTGGCCAAAAATGGGGCGTTCATTTGGATTAAATTTCGGATCGCGATCTGAACGCAAAAGAACTGAGGGCAACTTACAGTACCTTGCTTTCGTAGATGCTTATAGGGAGATATCATGGTAGACACCCCAAATCGTTTTTGTGCTTGTGCGCTGACCGCTTCCATCACTCCTCCATGCCGCTAAACCAGAAATACTAATTTTTCAGCTTGGCCCTGATCAATCAGATCCCGTAGCCCGGCGTGAATCCCAAGTTGCTACCGGCACGATCGAGAGTGTTGCCGTGGAGCTAGTCACACATCCTCCAGCAGAACATTGAACATTGGTATTATGGGGTCACCGTGTGTTGAGCCTTGACGGCATTCATTTCACGAAAACGCATGTCGTTCCAGCTTGATCGCTGCATCGTGATCCATGTAAATACAAGGACTGGTCGTTCTGGGGCCAACGGCTGGGTGTTGAAGGAGCTTCGGCGCCAGTGCTTCTGACGATGTGTCTTTGCGAATTATTAGGCTGCGAGGTTGAGGCAGTTTTCAGCATCGTGATTCGAATATGTTGTCGCATATGGTTCGTCCAGCTGAGGATCAAGATGCTGCGCGAGTTTCAGTGGGATTTGGTTATCCATGAAAACGTGAAGACATTCCCAGAGAAGAAGATGATGGAACTTCTAGGTGCATACCTCCAGCAGCCCCAGACTAAAACTTTTGACCTTAATCCGGGCAACCTCAGATGACGTGTGTGCGGGTGTGGGTGGGTGACGTATATCTCAAGCACTTTCAAAGCCATCTTGTTGTGCTGTCAAAGCCATCTTCAGGAACATGCAGTTGTGTCAAGCTCAAAGTTTGTCGCGCTGTTGTCGCCGAAGAACATGCATGCATGCGTGCACGATGTAGTTAAGGAAGGTGTCGCTGCGAGCATATCTCATGATGTTGCTATTGAGGCTTGTCTTGACGGTCTTCCGACCCTAACTAAGCCCGACGCCCTCCGGTTCTTCCACGGGAGGCGATGGTTGTCGTCTACTGGCCACAATGAGCTTGGATCCTCAAGATTCCGGATTTCCCGTATCGCGCCACAGGAAATACATGGTGATTGGCCGGCGCCACATGGAGCGCATGCCTCAGCTTGCTAACCTTCGTGCTTCTGATGCGGCAGAGTCAAACAGTCTGTACGTTTCTTGTGCAACGTACGGATCCTAGGCTGAGCTGTGATGTTGGCAAGCTCTTGGACGCAACACGTGTGTCTATGGAAGAACTCCACACATCTTCGTTTCTGGATCTGCTCCCGATGTCCGAACATGTGGACGAATGTGAGGGAAACTACAACACCAGCACGGTGCCTACGCGCGCGTGTGCACGAGCACTAGGCACGTAATGTTGGAATGTCCTGCTTTGGTAGCGTGTGCTCTCAACCAAGGACGGCTGCAGTACGAGCGTATGTTTCCAGACATGGTTGCCTTTGACCTGCACCAAAGCCCGTCTCAACGTGCCCGGCGTGCTTCGAAAATTTTGTTTCCCCTGACAACCGGGTGTAACCGCGTGTGGCTGAAAAACCACAAGCGGTTCGTGACCGGTGCCGACCTTTTATCTTTACATTCCATCCCAATCAGCACCGATGTGGCTCGGGTCATGAAATGCAGACCCAGTCGAATGGAGAGCATTTCTAACACAGGCCGGTGCACACTTGTCGGAAATTCGATGCATGGAGCCTCCGTTGGAAAGGCTTTCGCGATTGCTTTGCTGTACAGCAAGAAGACGAAGTCATCGACTCGCGACGCAGGACGTGCGAAGGCAAGCCGAAACTCGGATCACCCAGGTTTTCATGGGTCATGCTTCATGTCACACGTCACCCTGGAGGTGTGTGAAAAGCAGTGGGCTGGTTCTTGATTAGCATTCACTTCTTTCCAGCTTTCTGCTCGCTCAATCGGTACTCCGCGAGTTTGTTG